AAAAGAAAACTTAGAAAAGAATTCACCTGTATTCGCGAATCCTGCCTTCAATAGAACCAGCGACAACATTGAAGTGCACTCCGATTAAGCTGTTTTCAGGGAATGGAGGCGGCACTCGACCTGTAGATTGTTGGAAACAACTTGAATACTACCAGAACGAGAACAGTGACCGCCATGCTCTCAAGTTTAGTTTATAAAAACAGTATAGAACAAAGCTAACCATTCAATAGAGGAGCTGGAGATATCTTCTGGTGCGAGGGCGCTGAAACTGACGAAGCTAACGAAGAGGTGGAGATATTCAGCGAAGGATCGGAACTCTCTTGCTAAATAAATATACATATACCTTTCAAGACGTGGAAGTTCATAAAATGAGTGGGATGAAAGAAAATAGAAGTATATGAAACTACACAACAAGCAACATCAAATAAACAAGAACTTTTACTGTATCTCACCTTTAAAGGTCGCATAATTACCTCATCACATAAATCATCATCGTCGTCCAAGCATATGACACTCGGAGATGAACGAGCTGAAGAAAAAAATGAATCCCGTAAAAATATTGAAGAGTTCATAAGTGAGTTTGTAATTGAAGAGTAAAACTCTCACATGAGCTCGACAATGGAGAGATATAGGTGAAGTGCAAACCGTCTTCATCGTACTCGTCTGGGTTCAACTCCACATAGCCGTTTGTTGAAGGTTCCGCTTGACAGGCCTTACTCCTTTTTGTAGAAGTGGGGCCATTCGAGTCGTCATCGCTGATGGTAGTCACAGACAACTTCCGCTTCAAAGCCGTCCCTGATTGTGCTTGCTGTAAAGTTAATTTTGCGGTTTTTTATCCTCGCAGTATCACACCACCATGGAGTACAATACGGGATTGAGAGAAGGCAATATCAGTAGAAGACGCAATTGAAGAAAATCCCAAAAAGCACCAACGGTTGATTTACGATGTGTGCACCACAGAAGGGACTAGGGAAGATGTCAAGATGTCAAAAGATCGTTAAGTATTCACAGTTAGATATTTTTTGTTTCCTTTGCGGCCGTCTAGCTCCTACAGCGAGGCAACCCTACTTATACCGACAAATCAAAATTTTCGACAACTGAGTTGGGCTAGATGCGCGTTCGCGAGGATTTTCGGGAATACTGATTTCGAGACGATTGCTCTCCTCGGAGCGATATTTGATGGTTGAGCTGAATCTTTGGGTGATTTCCACTACTTCTCAGTAACCTCAATAAGCTTAGAACTAGTGCACAATGATTTCAATTTGAAACTAGACAAATACCCAGATAAGTTTCCCAAAATATAAGAAAAGTATTCAAATAAAAAAGCAAAGAATAGCGAACTGAAGGAGAAAGGAGCTGAAGCCACCAAAAAACATTCAACCCGGCTAAGTTGACTAACTGCAACCCACATATGTACATGACTAGATTTTGTAATAAGAACCTCCAAAACTGTCTCTAAAATGGTAAGGTTGGGATTACCGTTTTTTGATTCATTGGTGGAACAAATAAGCACACCATCTCCTTACATCAGTTGAAGAATGCGGTAAAAGAGAAAGTGCATCAAAAAGAAAGTTAGAGAAAAAAAAAAAGTACCTGAGTGAATATACCATTTGCAGCTGCTGATTTTGACGAGCTAGCATTCGATGGTCTCCTTTGTTCGTACATCTTACGAAGATCAATACGCAATTGGCGAGCCCACCCCTTTTCTGGCGGATCTGGTTCCAGAATAGGAATCTGAACAGAAAATGTGAAACACGAGCGACGGGCAAAAATCCTTCAATTTCATTTAATTTTTGGAGCTTGCATTTTACGATACCTTTGAGGATAACCTGAACACCCACCGTCTTTAATTGACAGTACTGTGTCGAGTTCACTATTTCCTCCATAAAACGGAAAACCTCGACTGCTTCATCAACTTCAGATTCTGCTGCAGCCTTAATAGACACACGTGAACTTCCAAGAAGACTTGTCGCAAAATGCGATCCAAACGACGTACCCATTTTTTGCGAATGTTAGCTAAAAGCTTGTCGATTCAGGTATCCTTGCAAACGTGAAATCAAATTATAAGCACAGTTGCTGTCAGCCTCCCTTCAAGAAAAATGGATGTTCGAAAACCTGTTTCGATGTAAATTTTAAAAACAGGAATGAGTGAAACACCACTTTTTTGAACTCAAACTATCTTGTCAATAGTCAAGAAACGGGTCTCTGATGTCAGGCCCACACCAATCAATCCGACGAGGCGGTTTTCGGCACCAGATTAGGCCGATGTCAGCGATTTTGCGAATCGCGCGATTCGCTACTAGCGATTCGCTAGCGTCCGCGGTCGCGTTGCGGTACCAGCCAATTGAGTGATTCACTTAGCCGCGACGCGACCGCAGACGCTAGCGAATCGCGCGATTCGCAAAGTCTGACATCGGCCTTAGGCGACGCGACGCCGCGCGTATTCCGCGCATACCATGGATTAACCCGACTCGCAGTGAAAATCTCGTGCAGTAGGACTCAAACAGCATTTCTGCATTGTTGCTAAGAGCTAGCAATATGGTGAGCCGTTGGAAGGTCAGAGAAAATAGAATCGGTGACTAGACACCTGCAAGAGGGAATTGGTGCCTTTACAACACAAATGTACTACTTATCCTACTATATATAATCGGCTAAGCGGTTGTGTGTGTGTGTGTGTGTGTGTGTCTGACCGGAAATTCATAACTTCGTTCCCTTTGATCCCAGAGCGCTCAAACTTCTAGGGTATATAGGGGGTCGGGCGTGAACACTGATGATGGGTGGCGGAAAGTGATAAGTACTGATAGAAGCTGATAACGGGCGTCAGAATGCCGATGTCACCAACTTCCTTACGCCGTTCGCGTTGGCAGTGGATTGCTAGCACTCATGAATATTGTGTAGGGTAGGACTGGGACCCAAATGGTGAGCGAAGGAAAGTGATAGCAAATGATAAGGGCTGATAAAGGGGCATCGGAATGCTAACGTCGTCAGTTTCGCAACGCCCTTTGCGTTGACCCTAAGATGTTCGCACTCATGAATATTATGTGGGGTGAGGCAGGGACCAAAAGGGTGATTGGAAGAAGGTGGTAGCAACTGATTAGAACTGATAAGGGGCGTCAAAGTGTGGATACTACCAGTTTCGTTGCGGCTTTCGCGGTGACATTGGAACCTTGGCTGTCACATGTGGTATAGGGGATGGGACGGGAACACGGATAGTGGGTGATCAAAAGCGATAACAACCGATAACGGTTGATAAAGAAGTTAGGATTTTGAGTACCGCTGATTTCGTTGTAGCCTTCGTGGTGACAGTAAATATTAGCTCCTACACGCTACAAGATGGGACGGAGATACGGTGAATGTGGGTGACAGAAAGGGGTATGAAAGGCAGGTGCACTAATAAAAATAGCGACAATTGAATGTGCGCACTCGGTTAAACTGAACCAGATTCCTAGCACGGGAATATGTTCCATTTCCACCCTTTCATCTAAAAAAGCAAAGGAAGTTGAGCTGCTCCACTATCTGGACTTGGACTAATAGCGAATAAAATCATATTTCCAATTTCCATCATCGGTTGATGCTGATTGATTGGTTATATTCCACTTACACACCGATTCTTCAATTGTGGGGAATTCTATAAACCGCTAAATCGCCCGAGCTCGATATCAATGCTAAATGTTTACGAAGTCATGATAAGTACCATTCTCATTCCGCATGCTACTGCGCGCATTACGCGACAATCTTCAGCGAAACTGGACAACCTTCCTTTAAACATCATGTGAAACATCTTCCAAAACAAATGCTTTTACTATACGTTTCTTCAGTCTTTGTGCCTAATTATTCTGCAGTTGTTCCAATTTCATTAAGCCCCTTTTGATGTCAGCAATCAAGCGGTTTTTGCGATGCGGAAGCATAAACTGGGTATACATTATCTTTCAGTTGAAACTTTGTTTGCAACCGTTTTCGTCTTCCCCTTTTTGCCAATTTGCTGCAGAATCAGTTATTCCACGACTATCCAAAATCTCAAAGTTTCATTTTTCGTCGAAACTTTGCCTATTGGGGTAATTCGATGCCCTGATTACGAATATGACATTCATTCTCGTAGTGTGGCCCCAAACATCACACCTCGCCCCATTTTTTGCGACATGTTCCATGTTTAGAGCAGATGTTATGTAGAAAGCTGTGAAGGCAGCGACGAATTTCCTTTACTGGCGTAGACTACGGTTACTTGTCTGTAGGAATTAGATAGAGTTACTTAGGCCGATGTCAGACTTTGCGAATCGCGCGATTCGCTAGCGTCTGCGGTCGCGTCGCGGCCAGTGAATCACTCAATTGGCTGGTACCGCAACGCGACCGCGGACGCTAGCGAATCGCTAGTAGCGAATCGCGCGATTCGCAAAGTCTGACATCGGCCTAAGGATCGTTGAATGTGGCAGTGATAAAATCTCGTA